TTACGCTAGAAATGAGTAAATTTGTGGTTTTATTGGAAGCGATGAAATATTTATATTCAAGCGCGGGAACTCCCTCACTTTTTTGACTGCATGCAGAGACCTTGATCTCGGATTGGAGGGTACTTAATGACGATTTTTTCTCAGATCGTAGGTACATAAATCATCCGAGAAACATTATCCGTAAAGTTCAGTAGCTTTTTTGATTTTATTGGTTATGTGCTGGAGACCTTTTTGCTGTACCCGCGGGTACTCCAAACCTTTGTGGCGGCGATCGGAAATGAAGTTCTTGACCTCACTTTGACGTCAAGAGCAATTGCGCCATTGAGCTCGGTTCGGAGGGTTCGTAATGACCATTCCTTCTGTGATCATAGTCATGATCCATATCGGATAGCTATAGGATATAACTGCCATAGAAACTGATCGATCAAACTCAAGTCGCTGTAAGTAAAACTTTCTTATTTGACAAGATTCACGAAATTTAGCATACATTATTATCAAAGAAATATTCCGAAAGGGCTGACAGACGGATCAGGGTGAGATGGAATGCCTTAAGGAGATGCAGGATTGCCAAGATTTTTTTACTTTTACTTATACGGTCTCAAAACGACTGCAGGACCAGGGGCCAACCCCAATGACAGGTCAAAACCTACTGGGATCACATGCGAGCCGGATGGGCATAAGTAACGACGATACTTGCAGGAAGTGCAGGGAAGTAGGCACGAGAGTGATGCTAAATCACCGTCTAAGCTTCTGTTTAGCATTATCTAGAGCTCGAAGCTTCGGAGGTTCAAGGGACTAGATGAAGTACAATAACAAAATTAGATACCAAATCGCTCGTAAAGTTCGCAAAAACCGTTGACGTCCTTAATGACGAATACGTCAGCTCAAATTAATCTGAACCTTAATCAGGCATTACTAAGGACCAGTGTGTCTTTGTATGACTTTTATATTTATTCTGGTATATTCACGAAATTTGGCATATATTAAATTATCCAGATCGAGATAAATGTTCGTTTCCGTAACTTTATTTCACATATTATTCTATTCCAAGTACATAAGTTCTCTAACTATTTTTCCTACAAGGTATAATATGTTTATATGTATAGCTGTATGGTATGTAGATAAAGTATATGATAATAAGAATGCGGGATTGTTAGTGACGATAGTCCACTTTTAGGTGCTCGTAAAGAACAAGTTTGGCAGCAATGCGACAGCTTCACACACACACACACACCCATACAGCTCAAACTATTAATACAAATCCACATTCCAAACCTAGAAAAGTTTTGACACTTTCCTCTTCAGTTTTGGTCCATTCCTTTTGCTTTTCCTCTGCTTATTTTTTTGCATTACCTCGAAAGAGTTGAATGCTTCTTCTTGTTTTCGTTTTTAACCAGCCTCGACGGCACATCTCATTCGTTTTACTCAATTGCCATTTCACCGCACTTTTTTTTACCACATTTACATGCAGAAAATCCTCTTACCGCCTTCCCCGCATGTGTGAGTAGTCGCGCAGGACCAGCAGGCGCACAGCATTTCCAACGCCTGAGTACGCAGCCAACTGCGCTTGCTTTAACGCTATTCCGTATGCCTCGGTGATTCGGAGTGCCATCCGATGTTCTTCCTTTTTTTTCATTTGTTTTTTCTTTCTTTTTCCATTTATTTTTCCCTTCAGTACCATTTAAAAGTCGGCATTTTTTATTTCGAGTATCTATTAGCGGCACTGTCCTGCCGCGTTGTTGCAACTGCAACTATGAACGACTGGCGGTTGGCTTCCGCGCCCACTTTTAGCGCTCGCTGGTAGCGTTGAAATAAAATTTGGTGCGAAAAAAGTTCGGAAATTCTGAAATTGCTGTAAATGGGCGAAAATGGCAAATTGTCGATAAATTGTATTGCTGCGAGCACAGTGGGCTGCAGCAAAGCTGTGTCGTTAAAGCGCATTTACTCATGTACACACTACATACATATATAAACATATATACATTTATGGCAGTTCGCTACAGCATAGGTTCTCTGAGTGTTGTATGGCCTACTACTCGGCCTCAATCTGCAGTGATTGCATTGTTGATTTGTATGCGCATATTTCAGCCACACATAACGCTTGTATACCGTTATAAAGGTTACCAACTTTGTTTTAATATTTGTATTCTGTAAGGTAACCTTTTTGAGATTTTTCGAAAATTCTATAATCTCACTTTTTTGTTGCATTCGAATGCGAAATGAGCTGCTTTTGTTTACTAAATAAAAATATTCGTATTTTAAATATTATCTGTTATAAATTTGATAACAAGTACTGTTTAGTGTACATTTTGTTCAGGAATTTTATTACCAATAAAATGTAGCAACAGAAAAATTAGTAGATAGTGAATTTCAAAAATTCAAACTTAATTATTTTTAATGTAATATTTCTTTCAAGCCATTTACTTAAAATAATATGTCTTCGAAACAAAGCAATTTTTAATGCCTAATTTATTTTGCATAGTTTCTCAATTAATATAACTTAAAAATAAAAATATTTTTGAGGTTAGGTCTTACACAAGAGATCTAGCCAAGTTTTATAACTAAACATCTAAAAATATAAATTGAAAACCCATAATCTAAAAAATTGCCTTAGCAATGCCAGCCAATATGGGTCATAATGAACCAAAAACATAAACATATTTTACCTTCATAAGAGTAGATCTAGCTCCGTTATATAAACGTTTGAGAAGCAGAAGCCAACACAATACATAAGAGACTATTACACGGTCCAGGTAATAGATCTCTCTGGTTATCATAATCTTAAGAGGGCCGAGGTAGATTTAAAAGACAGTTAGGTATAAATAAATAGAATTATAGATATTATAGTTTGAAAAGTTTCCAAAAACTTGATGAAAACAAAAGTGAATAAAATGTATAACACACTTAAACAAAACTCAAAATGATGAAAGCTTTTTCTGTTTCGAAATTAAAGCGCTGTCCATCATAACCAAAAGATGCCTAAATTAATTTTGAAAAAAATCTGTCCGATCTAAATCGACAAAAAGTTTATGAAAATATAGAAGCATATGTAATATTAAAGACTAGAAACAGATATATATAATATATAGATATACATAGATTCACAGTGTATTTTGATACTGATGATACTAATATAAACCAGATACAATTTTGATTGGTATTGTTACAAACCAGAACGGGTTGAATGATATCTGGTAGAAATATGATATGAGGATATGTATATAATTCACCATCTGAAAGATCCTACAAATGTTAAATCAGCTCTAAATGTCTGGTATATACATTTTTTGAGAAAACTTTTTCATGAAACTCGCGTGAGGTCCTAAATTATTTCTTCTAGAATTCATCTCTGTTAGACAGAAGTTTATTCTATGAATTTAGAGTTTGCTTGACCAAGAATTAAGTTTCTGATACAGAAAAATGTCAACATTTTTAACATCGTATGACAAAAACCATATACTGTTTGTTTGAAAATTTTACAAAAAATTGCAACTGCTTAAACAACTTGTTGGCAACTCTGTCCACATGTTTGTAAAGCGAAATAGATAATTTTTTAGAGGCTGCGGTATGTATTTGTGTCTCTGCGGTGTCTCTGTCTGTGTGTCAAAATACAAAATCAATATTGCTACTATGAGAATTCAAGACAGCAAATTGTTGGTATACTTTTTTTTCAATCAATCCACTGACACTATTTCTTCCACAGCTTTGCTGTTTCAAGCTAATATCGGCATAGCGACATTTAATACGTAGCGTCAAGTATGGAATTACACATGAGTACATATGTGTAAAGTAGCTGATTTCGTTTGCTTTGAAATGCGATCTACAAATATATGTCTGCGACATATTTCAATGAGCAAAAATGTCGATTATAAACTTTTTCCTTCATGGTCGCATTATTTTTTTGGCATAAAAATGTAGATCGAAGGTTAGGTGCTATATATGAAACAAATTGGGTTGTTTGATATATTTCATATTGTCTCAAGGAGTTATAAGCGAAATTTAGGCAACGAAAACCTCTTTCGTGATCAATGAAACGCCTCCGTCTGATGATGGCGCGCCATGTCACACTGATAATCAAGCTATTAAGTTTCTAGAATAAAACTACTCTGGAAGTCTGATATCAAAAAGATATATATTGATTGGTCAACCAGATTTTAAATTTTGAGTTAGTCTGACTTCTTTTCTTTTAAGGTTTTTTGAAAAAATAAGTATAAATTAGCAAACTTCGGACCATGGGCAAGCTGAATGCAAATATTGGTGCCAAAATCATCGCTAATCCACTCGAAATGCTTGAAAAGGCAAATAAATTGCAAAGAGCTCATTTAAATCTAAATTTATTTTTTTTAAATAAACTTATTCTTATACTTATAAAAGAGTACATTAAGTTTGCCACAAAGTTTGTAAATCCCAGAAGGAAACATCGGAGATTTTATAAAGTGACCATATAGTCCATCTGTTCGTCTATTTATCCGTCTGTCTATATATACGCTAACTAGTCCGTCAGTTTTTGAGATATCGTTCTGAAATTTCCACACGTCCTTTTCTCACAAAGAAGATGCTCATTTCACAGAACCGCCGCTATCGGAGCACTATAGCATATATCTGGCATACAAACTGAGCGATGAAGCTCAAGTCTCTATATAGAAAACTTTTTTATTTGACAAGGTATCTTAACAAACTTTGACACAGATTACTATCTAAAGCAACGCTATAATCTCTGATTGTATAGATCGGATAACTATTAGATATACCTGTCATATAAACTGATTGATCAAAATAAAGTTCTTATTATGAAGGGTATGTTATTAAAGCTTCGGTGCGGCCAGAGTTAACGGTTTTCATGTTTTTTAGTTACTTGATGTTCACATATAATTTTGCACACACTATATATACGGTATAGGAACGCCTCACATATATAAGAGTATGGATTTAGTTTATCTAAATTGTTTACTACAATTTTTCTATTATTTTAACTGCATTTGACATTCAATTTTGCTTACCTTTGTGTTATTGTAGTTGTTGTTTTATATTTCAGCTGCCGTTGGTTTTAAAGAGTTGTAGTTTCTTTTTGTTACATTTAATTAAATAATGAAAGTCGACACAAAGTAACTTAAATTTACACACACTTAAACGCACTGTATACGACTACATTGAGGTTAGGTTGAAGTATATACATATTTTGTATTATTGATGAATTTTTAAATATTCTACGATAGTATTTCGTTATTTATTGTCTCAATTTAACAACCGAGTTTTTAAAAATAATTTATAATTTCCATTTTTTGCTTCGCTTACACACACCGCTGTAGTTTGATTGCATTTTATATGCACATTTTTACGGCAGACTGTACTAAAAATATTATTGTAACGCGCGAAAAACCGACTATGAATATACCGTTATATTGGCTGAATATCTCTGTGCTTCGTTTGGCGCTGCTTCGTTGATTCCTTTGTTTTTCGTTTTACGTTTTAAGTTTTTCTTTTATTTTATATTCTTGTTTTTCTTCTTTTATTTTTTTCGTGTTGTTTTTTATTATTTTTTACATTGTCGTTTGCGTGTTGCTTACTCGCTTTAACATAGTCATGTTTTTTACAAGAGTGCTCAACGCTTGTTATTTTACCAGATTTTCGCAACGTATGTGTGTGAGTTTGCGCCTTGCTGTATCGCAGTTGTTGTTGCTTTTTAAGTTGCTCGTATTTTGTCGCTTTTGTAAATTTTAATTTATTGCACCAATTTTCTTTAGTTACCTTTCGAAGTATTAATTCAATTATTTGCGAACGAAATTTGTTGCCGAACCACCCACTTCTTACTTACATATGTATATAGGGATTTTTAGACACGCAACGCACTTGTTAAACTGTAAAAAAGAGAAGAAAACGGTTTCATTACTAAAGCAGATTTAAAATTGAAATTTGTTAGTAGTTAGTTAGTCTTACAGGAAATACATAATAATATACTCATTGTGGCTAGAAAGAAAAATATTCACTCTATAGTACATAATTAAAGAAAATATTATTTAAAAAATTTTTAAAAATTATTTCATTCCAAATTTGACAAAACGATCGATGATCCCTTTATAAGACCATGAGTAAATATTATGTACCAAATTTCTAGAATTTCTAATTTATTTGAAACTTCCTCCTTCAAGCCATACAAATTTATTTATAAAATTGCTCGTCAAGTAATTATTTCCAAATCACAAACATATATACTTGTATTTTATGATTTTTATCATTAAATAAATAAATAAAAAAACGTATATTATCAAAATGTAACGTGTTTTAATAATCTGCAATTCATTTTGAAAAAAATTTAATTCTCTTTATCTCGTAGCCGAACTCAAGGAAGATCTCCGAAAAAAGTTGTATGACGGTGAAGAAGATTTTCCTACTTAAAATTGTCTTAAATCCAATCAAAACACAACAACATATTATATTATAATTATAATAATGTAATAATCGAAGTTATTTTCTTATTTCTTCGATAATTTCCTGACAAATACTTTTAAGAATTTCCTGGGAAATTTTCAAATTGGTCGGTCCAGCCGTTACGGAAAATTTTTTCTAACCGACTCTGAGGACAGGGTCCGTTTTAAAGTTTGGACGCTAAGCCAAGAATAACGATTCCTATGTGAAGGAAATGGGAATTAGTCTGACCATAACCTTAAGGCTATGAAATACAGGTACTTAGGTCGAGTGATCCTCATCCATGAAAGTCGCGATATAGGCAGCTTTTTAGCACATAATCTTGATAAAAGTCTAAATTAGGATCACCTAAGAATAATGACGATTAGCCACTTTTGTAGATTAAAAAACAAAAAATCCAAAAAAATCATGACTGCTCAAACAACTCATTGGCAACTCTGTCCATATGTTTGTATAGCGAAATAGATAAGTTTTTAGGCTGCGGTGAACTGTGTCTGTGGTTGTGGCAGAATTAAAGACAACAAACGCTACTGTTATCAGGCTTAATTGAGTCAGTTGTCATGACAGTAAAATATGACACAAAAATTTTTTAAAACATTTTAACACCCTAATTCCTCTTATAATAAAAATTAATATTATTTTAATCATTTTTAGGTGTTACACAGGTCTTATATATCAAAAATAATATTATATAAATTATTTTTAAACCAATAATTTTTTTGCATTCTTTCTCTGTACTTAACTATTTGATAATCTGAACTTTAACATTTCAATTTCATTAAAAGGTTGCTGCTCGTAAATGTATCTGGTCGCGTATAACTTTGCAATAAAAACATTGGCACTCAACATCATTTAATTTTTTAAGCGTTTTCTCTTATATTTCATAAAAATAGTGAACTATGCTAAACTGTTGTAGAAAGTCCTGTTGGCATATAAATATTTATTACACACCAAGCGATATCAATAAAAAGTATGACATAAAAATAAGGTTATACACGCATGCAAGGATAATAAATGTTGATGGCAGTTAAAAAATTACACCGTTATTTGTTGCCACTTCACCGGCGATTATATGACATACTTATACATACTTTAGTATATACATACTTTTCCAACAAGCTAATTCCTATATTATATAAGCAAGTAACTCCGAGTACAGTGGAAGATTAGAAACTCACTGGCTTGCTTATACTATAGCTAACATGTTATTACATAGTTTCGAAAAATTTACATTAAATTCTAGGGAAAATTATCGGAAACTTTATAATTGGCTTATGAGAAAAAATACACCGATTTTGAGCATTTTTTTCCAACATCAATATATGCTAAAATAAGTAAACTTGCAAAATATTATTGAAATTTTACTCAACGTACGACATATTGGCCGCTTAATACAGAAGTAGTATAAATTCTATCGAAAATGTAAAGAACATTATATTATATTAGGGCTACGAGCGCTAAGCAAACCTACACATAACACACATTTTTGAAATTACACTGCTTTATGTTGAGAAAGCATACTCACTAGTTTCCATTAAGATATTCCATATAATAGCCGATGTATTCAACACAACTTAAAATCAAACAAAGGAGCGGCAAGCATTATATATTGACTAGGATTAAAATGATCATATTCAGAGAGCAAAACATATAGACCAATTTCGACCATATATATGATTATGAAGGACTATACTATCATTGTATATGGTTAAAGTCTAACGGTAGAACGAAGATCATATACATTCATTATAGGGAGCCAAGTGCAAAATTTATGAACTGATTTCGACGATTTTTGATTTGGCGTCAGAATGCTTATATTTGTCTTTTTGATGATTTATATTTACAAGTAGGAAAAATTAATCAATGTGCCTTGTTCATTTATTGTTAGCGATAACAAAAAGCTGCTCATATAGCTGCCATAGAAACTGACAGATCAAAATCAAATTCTTGTTTGGAAAACTTTTTTCTTTGATGAGATATCGTCATGAAATTGGGCAGAGATTATTGTTCAAGGCAACGCTACAATCTATGACTATATTGTTCAGATCGGACTATTATAGCATATAGCTGTCGTACAAACTAACCGATCAAAATCAAGTCTTTGTAAGGAAAACTTTTTTGTTTGACGAGACAACTTTACGAAATTTGGCATAGATTATTGTCCAAGGCAAGTCTATAATCTTCGAACATATCGGTCGATTCGAATCACTATAGCATATAACTGCCATTCAAACTGCGGATCATAATCGAGGTAAAGCTCTTTTTATACCCTTTGTATATCGCACTTGATTTGCATATAAAATTATTCAAGAAATCTGTAAATAGAGACCAATATCAAGTATATTAGGTAGCCAATAAAACTATTGGGGTATTTCAACTATTCTTTGTAATAAAAGGAATTTAAGCTTACCTATCTAAGAAATTACTTTAGTAGGCCGTCTTACTTGCTTTAATTTACTCATACAAAAATTTGCTTGTAGTTGTACAATGTTCAAATTTTAGAGAGGGCACATGCCATTAACAGCAAACAGTACTGCCACCTATTTAACCTAAGTGCTTCCACACAGTATTTCTTCGATAAGTATATGCCTACATATGTATGGTATATGAGATTCTGTTGTGGGAATTGTTTACATAACACAAAATTTGTATATCTGTTAATATGCAGTTGCGTAATTCCACATATGCGATGCCAACAACAAATGTAATAAACCGAATTCTCCAACCGCATTACACCGAGTGAACTTGTGGTTAATGTTGATCTTCGTTCAGAGGACTCATTCACAGCGTCACCAACCCATGTTCACACACTTGCATGTATTATATATACTTGTACTGTATGTGTATGTATGCATGTTTGTGTGTATTTGTAACGAAATGCCAAACAGACGAGGCCGCAAGGGACACTTAAATGTTAAGAGGTCTATTTTGCATGTATTTATGTGTGAGTGTTTACATACTCGTATATATGTACTTATTTATATGTATGTATACTTATATTTGTGTACATGCCAGTAATCATTGAGGCGCAATAACAGCAATTGCTAGGAGTATAATAGCGAGTGCTTAATGAAATTGTTGTATACGAGTTGACAGTGTTATGGGTTAATTGATAAGTTGAGTAAGTTGCCTGTTTACCGTTCTTGAGATATCAGTGTTTAATATACACATAACTATATATATTCCAGCATATAAATGCTTAAAGTCAGCTAGAATATTAAAACCATATACATCACATAGATGGAACACTGAACCGACTTTAACCATTTTCAATATCAGACCAGACATTTTTATCAGGAATAAATTCCAAATACCTTGAGGCCCTCACATTTGGAATCTGGGGTCTTTAAAAGTTATAATAGATTTCGACTATTGCTAGATGAAAGCGGCCACACCTTGAATACACTTTTGGAGCATTTTCATTGGTGCTTGATTTGTGTACTGTACCATTAAAGAGTCAGATGGAGTTTAAAATTGTGTTATATGGGAAGTATGTAGGCGTGATTTTAGTTCTACTTTTTCCCATTTCCAAACCATTAAAATAATTTTATGTATCAAATTTGATTCAATGTGGTCGAATAGTTGTTGGCATAAGGGATTTAGATAAATGTCGGCGGTGTTACGCTCATAGTCCATTTTTTGTACCGATTCATATGCCAACCGACCGTAATATCTTGAGTGTAAAATTTAAAGCTTTGTCTTCAATGTGAAAGAATTGTTTCTCTAAAGGTTGAAGACTTTCATACATCCACAGCTATATCCATACCAACTTACAGTAGTAACTTTTTCGTTAGACTGCGTTGTAAAAATAAACTGCAGCATTTCTATTATACACCGAAATTGTTTCACTTTCAAGGAAAATTTGCGCCACTTAAAAACATATAAATTTACATTAGCAGCTAAGCTTGAATGTTTCTCCAAGTTAAGTATGCTTAGCTTTTTATACTTTTTACTCACGACTTGCGGCTTTAAGTTGATTACGCTTTTATCTTATAAAAGAAAGCGACAGTCTCTATTATTTAAAGGAATTACTGCTTTGGCTAGGCAATTCATGAGGGATAGAAAAATATTCAAATGTGTAGCTATGTTCTGGCTAGAATTTGACGTGCTTATACACATATTTTTTAACGTGTATGCAAATGCTTTGAATTAATTTATTCTCCTTCGGATTTTGTCATGCATGGCGTATACGCAACATTTATCTTGACAATTTACACCAGCTTCGCTTTGTACCAAAAATCAGCACGTACATAAACATATATGCATATGTATGTGTGTATAGATTGTAATTGATATGTCTACATAGAAATTTTACTTTATGACATGTAGATGTGTACATATTTATATATATGCATATATTTTTATTATTTGGGCATAAGCGCTTAACTAGGTTTATTTAATTTTTTTAAAAGTATTCATATGCATTTTTATT